TTGTGAGTTCGCAGGTGGTGAAAATAAAATCATAAGTACACGCAGCAATGAGCGCGCTTAGTCCAGCAGACGGCATTACATGTGTTCGACTTAAAGTGGCGCTGTGCAGACCGATCGGTGTATGACATCAAAGTACCCATTCACCGATCGGTCTGCTCAGCGCCGCTTTAGGTCGAACACACCTTTTGTTTGGGGTGTTCGGTGAGTTCCGTCGGGAAATATACGTCATTCAACCCGACCAATCAGGTTGTGAACGTATCACTATGCCTTTAGGTTCACTGTAAAACATGCCAGTGTGAACGCTCAGCGGACCAGGACCAAATGTGTAGTTTTCTTTTTTGGTCCGGACCAAACGAACCAAGAGAACTGAACTACAAGTGTGAACACACCCTAACCTGCTAAAGTGGAGCATTGTTAATGCAGTTTTGAAGGATTCAATGTAGAATAAAATAATGTCCTTGTATTCCAATCTGACAATGTCCAGACAATGACAGTGCCATTCGCAATGACAGTGACTTTATCATGAGCTCGCTATATTGCTGGTTGACCAATATTTTTACTAATAGTCTTTATTTGTGTACTATTATTGCTATTATTATTATTTTTGCCAAGTTGTTTTGTGATCTAAATGGGAATAAATTTATTTTCATATTTATTTTTGGCTCTTTTTTTTTTTTTACTATTAAGCTTGAAATGCAGTGGAATTCTCACTTGAAAATGAAAGGCTATAAAAATGAGTAATTATGCAAACAATATATAAAATTATTAAATGTTTTAAATAAACGTTACCTTCTTTCTATTGTTTCCTGTTGAATGCCCAGCTGTTTTATGGCATTATTAGGCACTGTTCTTTAGAGACCCACCAGTGTCATATATTGGTAGACCTGATATTAAAGAACTGATTTAGTAGAAAACTGTAAATATTGATACAAATACTGGTCGAGCCAATTATCAGTGTCTAATTGCTCGGAATTACTTTTAATATCCCAATTTTGTCTACACTCAACTACTTTTTCTGATAGAAGATGGACCTTGTACATTGGTCTCCCATTGGTAGTCACAAGTTTTTTTTCTACGGTTGGAAGTAACTGCATACTAGCATCTCTACTTAAACACTGTTCAGATATGCTCAGCCACACTAAATTGACAATGCTGTTATCATTCAAATCACCAGCCCTCATTGAAAATGAATGACTGAGGGCCACTTTGTTGTGGCAAATCGCTGTAGGTGTGAACGCCGACGCTTCGAAACACATTTAGGTGCAGTTAAAAGTGAATTTGAACAGAGTGTTTGGCTTTATAACCAAAGCATTTTAGCAGAAAGAGGTTCTCAAGTTTCAACCATTATCACTGAAGATGTGTCTTTTTTTGGATTCTTTAGATTATGTACAGTAGATACTTGAGAATCTCCCTCTCTCTCTCTCTATCTCACGGTCTCTCTCACACTGTCTGTCTATCCACCCATGTGAATCATTCGCGGATTGCCCCCGGGAGTGAATTTTCTGTGTTATAGCTTTAACCTTTTACAGGGAATCCATCACAGTAATAGCCAGCCAAGACTGCGTCAGATACCATTTTTGCAATGTTTAAAGCTCAGAAGCAAACTGTGCACAGAGCTGCAGTTGTGTGATAAAAACATATAATGATGTGTGGAGCCTGGCGTGGACTAAACTAAATAGTTCAGGATGGATATCTGAGCGTTATCAACTTTTATAGAGCTGTTAAAAGGCTGTTAGATGTGGTGAATGCATTTTTAGAAGGTTGGCAAGGTGCTAATCATTCAGCTGTATGAAATATGTATGTACTGTAATTGTTAGTTGTATAGCATGTAATAGTATGTGGTACTTGTTAGTCAGGCAAGTGTACTGAGGTGTAATTTACCTGACATAGACAGCAGAGTAAAAAATAGCAACAATAAGGAACCAGATTTGTACTGTGGCACAGCTGTTAGTGCAAAGATACGTTGAACCATTGATGCTAATGCAGATTACAAAGCTTCCAGTTCAGCCAGCAGTAATTTTCTGTCATTCTACGTTTGCCATTTTAGTGTATGTATGTCATCTTTTAAATAAAAAAAAAAGAGAGAAAAAAAAAGATCAGGAATTTTTATTTTATTTTATCAAAAGGAACATGTTGGAAAAACATGAAAAGTAAAATAACTTTTTAAAAAGGATAAAACATGGATGAAAAGATAAAAATAAAAAAATAGTGGGACCACTTCAATATATCTGTTACGTGTCTCAAAGAATAAAATGTGTAAATTGAAGATTTTCTTTAGCGGTTAGTGTGAAGACTTTGCCCCTGAAGCATTTTATGCTGACTGCTGTTTATTGTATCCTGAAACGATTATTAGCTGGATATGTTGCTTCTATCTATCACTTTTATTCCTATCACTTTCTCTATCTCTCCCTCCCTCCCGCTTTGCCTTCTAATGAACAAGGTTTTCCTTCCCACTGAAAAGAGAATGATGATGAGACAGCAAAATGGGAAAGTGAGAAAAGAGAAGAAGAGGGAAAACCATTACTCCATTTTCACACTTCAATACATGTGCACGTCCCTGGGGAGCGCTCCATCTCTCTCTCGCTCTCTCGCTCTCTCGCTCTCTCTCTCTGAGAGCTGTGGGTGTCATGAGGCAGACACATAGTTGCGTAACACTTCACCTATAGAGCATGTACACTGAAGAGCATAAACGCATGCTGATGTGAGACACAATGATACTGTAACATTGTACTTGTTCAGGAAGACACATGCACATTACTGTAGGTTACTTTTAATGCAGCGACTGCACAATCACGCACACATTTCAAGAGATAGTTCACCCAGAAATGATGTCATCTGCTCACCCTTCATGTCGTTCCAGATCTTTTTGGAAGACTTCCTTTTTCTTACATGCAACAAAAGAAGAAGATGCAACAATTTTGAAGACTTGTGCTGGTTGCTCTTTTTCATGTAATTACAGGGAACTGATGCATTCAAGTTCCAGAATGGATGCAAAAGTAACATCAAAGTGGACTTGGGCACTATATTTCAAGTCTTCTGAAGTCGTATGAGAGCTTTGTGTGAGGAACAGGCAAATTTAAATCAGTGTTCTCTTGAGATCTTGACATCTTTCTTGGCTATCCTGTAAGTGTTCATGTGAGTTTTTTAAAAAGGAGAGGTGACTCTAATTTATTCTTTTCAATGAATCGGCTTCAATGAATCCATTTCTTGTCACAGCTTTGTAAATATATATATATAAAATTGTCCTATAACTTGACAGATATCACTGATATAGGTGTCCTGAGAAATCACACGTATTTCTGTAACAGCTCTAGACTTGGAGAAATGGCAAGTCAAGTGAATGACCCAACATTTTTAGCCGATCAGAAACACTCTGCCTTTTATGTGTTTCAGTTTGATGACATGACATTAGAGGGCAGAGATTTGGAGAGAGGCCTAATTCAGTGGAAGTTAGCAAATCTAGGTGTTATTACCAGTCAAAAGGGTGGACACATCTGTTCATTCAGTTTTTTAATCATTATTATTGGCAATTTTTCACATTTTAAAATCATAATAAAGGCATCACAGCTGTGAAGTAACAAATGAAGGATTGGAATTATGTAGTAATCAAAATGTTCAACAAATCAACCCTTTCTTAAATTTAAGTGTCTTTGTCTGGACGTTCACTCAACCAACCCTGTGAGATGCATCCTGGGACATTATTTTACTATCTTTATGAAGCGATTTTTCTCATGGGAGCTATTGGCTGGTGCTTACAATGTGACATTTTAGTTTTTACTCTTCTTTTTGGGGACATTTGGTCCCTGCAGTGTAAATAAAACCTGACCAACACACACACTCACACCCCTCAAAATCATCATCTTCAGGAGTGTCAAGTACATCAGCGTCCCAATTATGCGCCTCTCTGTACCCATCTCATCCTTTGTATTCCTGCTGAACTTTTATTTCATCTTTCCTCACTCTTTCATCTTCTCCCTTTATCTTTCCCTTTTCCTCTCCTTGCCTGCTCCCTCTCCCTAAATATAGCACCTTTGAAGCATCCCTCCCCAAAAAATCTTTCATTCAGTCTGCATTTGTGTGAGCAAGAGAGAGAGAGAGAGAGAAAGCCCTAATCAAGGATGTGATTGCCATCTGTTGTGTATTGATAAAAGGCTAAGAAAGACACTGATTAAAAAACGGGGGGAAAACTGTAGCAAAAAAAGCAGATACGGTGAGTAAAAAAGGAGGAGTGGAGCTGTAAAGAGGACACGTGAATAATGCGCATTTTTGAAAGCAAAAAAAGAAAACGGCTTGCATGTGTAGTAGTACAAAGTGTGTAAAAAAGAGAAAGGAAGTGTGAAGAAAGACAGAAACCGAGGAGAAAGGGGTTAGCGGAAGAGGAATGGAGAAGGAGTGGGTGACATTTCTGATCCTCCTTTTGTAATTGAATAATAATCTCCTGCGGGACCTGACCTAGAAGCGCGCAAGTATGTGTATTAGCACTTTTTTTTTCTGTGTGAGCTTGTGCCAGACAAAGAGAGTCAAATGAGAAGGGCCGCCGCAAAGTGAAACACTGCCCCCTGTTGTTTGATCAGTGCCTCACATGCATTAAGCATGAAAAAGGATCTGGTTTAATGTGCTGTGGCAAAGCATTGAAATATAACTGCTTTTCCGTTCAAGCAGGACTTATACATTTTAAAAAGGTCAATGAGATAAATCTTCCATTTTCTTCCTTTTTTTCTGTCTGTCCATAAGGAAATCTAAAGCATATGACACTGATGCCATTCGATTAGCAAAACCACTGTAATCTTATAATAATGTTTTGTTTGTTTCTCTTTTTCCCATTCCTTCCTCTGTCTTTCTTTCAGCTTGCGGAGAGAGGGCTACACCGTACAGGTCAGTGTTAACGACTACCTGGACATCTACTGTCCACACTACAACCAGAGCCAGCGGGGGGCACTAGAGCGTGGTGTGGCCGAGCAGTACATCTGTGTGAGCTTGTGCCAGACAAAGAGAGTCAAATGAGAAGGGCCGCCGCAAAGTGAAACACTGCCCCCTGTTGTTTGATCAGTGCCTCACATGCATTCACCCTCCTGAAAAAGGATCTGGTTTAATGTGCTGTGGCAAAGCATTGAAATATAACTGCTTTTCCGTTCAAGCAGGACTTATACATTTTAAAAAGGTCAATGAGATAAATCTTCCATTTTCTTCCTTTTTTTCTGTCTGTCCATAAGGAAATCTAAAGCATATGACACTGATGCCATTCGATTAGCAAAACCACTGTAATCTTATAATAATGTTTTGTTTGTTTCTCTTTTTCCCATTCCTTCCTCTGTCTTTCTTTCAGCTTGCGGAGAGAGGGCTACACCGTACAGGTCAGTGTTAACGACTACCTGGACATCTACTGTCCACACTACAACCAGAGCCAGCGGGGGGCACTAGAGCGTGGTGTGGCCGAGCAGTACATTCTCTACATGGTCAGTTACCGAGGCTACCGCACCTGCGACCCACAGATGGGCTTCAAACGCTGGGAGTGCAACCGGCCGCACGCCCCCCACGCGCCAATTAAGTTCTCAGAGAAATTCCAGCGTTACAGCGCCTTCTCGCTAGGCTATGAATTCAACGTGGGTCATGAGTACTACTATATATGTGAGTATTTGTTGCTTTCTAATGTTATTTTTGTTACAGTTTTTTTTATTTTGTCTGTTTAGTTGTTAGGTTTCATCTACAAAGCATCAGACTCACAAACCTCAAAAATTGTAAGTACACTGATGTATTAAAGTTCTATTGATTAAGAAAAGGAATAATAATTTAAAACAATATTTAAAACATACATCAGTTACATAATAAAAGTTTTTATTTTACATGGAGTGGGTCGACTCATAGAGGCTGGAATGCAGTTATATTAGTGTCACTGAGATACTATTATAGGTTTTTTTTTATATTTAGAATTAGTTTTTATTTTTTGTACTTTCTGTTTTTATTTACATTTTTGTTAAACATTTAGTAATTTTGTTCATTATTGTTATGGTACATTGGCTGAATGTTGCTTTGACAAGTAGCTGAAGTAAAATAAGCTTGGAGTTTTTTTATATTTTATTTTATTTCTGTCAATGTTAATTTTTATTTTTTTATATATTTTTTTTGAGTAACAAAAATATTTTTATGGTTTTGGTTTTAGTTAATAATAATAGCCCTGCTGGTATGTTCACATGGCCACCCACATATGAAAATTACTAAGTTTAACTTCAAATACAAATTAAGCTCAATTAATAACATTATTACCTATGTGTCCATCCAAGACAAAAATTGAATTTGTGCAAAAAATAAATCAATAAAAGTAGTATCTTGTTCCTTTTGGGGAAATTGGCTCAAAATAGAAATATAAATTGGAGCCAGTGGGGAAACCACTTTCATTAAATATAATAAATCATGCTTTGAAGAATTTAATTTTTGCTAGCAATCTTTGGCAGATGCTTTAGGCCTTGAACAACAATATGCTAGAACATTCTGGAAGGTGACACTAGCCTAAGTGAATTAAACTGTTATACTTATCTCAGTGAATTAATCAGTCACATGACTGAATCAAAGTCACATTTTTGTTTTTGACACACATTCAGGAATTTATTCAGTAATTGTGTTGTAGTTGTAGTTTATGAGCATTGTTGTCTTTGTGTGGACGTTTGTGTGCAAATTGTGCAAATAGAATAGAATCTTAATATTTCACGTCACTCACAACTTTTAATGCAGCATTCCAACATTTGCATAAGAACACATGGATGGAAAGCTGGGGGCACGCTACCTCAGAAAATGCTCCTCAGTTTGTAAAAACAAGCTAACAATGGAAGTATCTGGGGCAAACGTTGCACAATTACAAATGGATTTCTGTCAACAAACTCAGGTGCAATTCTAAATTATTTCTGTGGTTATTGACAGCATGCCACAGATTCTGTCCATAGAGCTTAACTTGTATTTAACATACTAATCCTTTAAAGTGATCTTTAGCTGGCAAGTTCCAGGTTGCAGTAAGCTAACTTCATCTAAACGCCACTGACAGAAAAGGTTATTATACAGGGAAAGGCATACTGGTGAGCAGATGGAGGTTTAGTGCATTGTCAACAGAAGTGCCTTGACAGGATCCTCCCTTTCATGATGTGGCGATTGTATCGCTGAGCCAATCATGGCCCTTCCTGTCGCGGAGTTTTTAAAGTAGTTAAAATAAAAAGAGTGAGAACTTTCTGCATGAGCACCATTATGTGCAGGGTTACAGATAAGTCATACAGATGGAGTTAACACAAAAGAAAACAATTTGCAACCCCAGTGATCGTCTTTAAAGGGCTTTATTGTTATGAAGCGGTAGTTTGAAGCAAGGCAGCGAGTTGTTTCAAACACAGCCATGTTTCATTCTTTTGACCAAATCACAACTGAGAATAAAAGAAAGCTCCTAAGGACAGGCTCAAATGCATCTCTCCCAGCAGTCCATTTGCTCTCAAAACTGCCTTGTTGGTCAAATAGTGACAGCTTCGCCATCCAGAGGAGCTTGTTATTGGGATATGGACATTATGGGCGGCTGCCGATCATCAGTCTTTCTGGCATTTGGGTCAATCACTACCAATTAGAGCGCAGTCAGCGCACCCGTTTTGATTGAAAACTTTTTAATGCAGGCTATAAACCTAGTGTTAATAGAGCATTGCTAATGATGATTTTCTGATGCATGTCCCACCTAATACTAATAGTCGTCTTCATTAGTGCGGTCTGTAGGCAGGTTATTAGCGATAGTATGACAACTGTTTGGTATTGAAAAATGGCATCACACTCTTTCACACATTTCTATGATAACGTATGTCCCATATGTTTATCAACCTGAAAACAAGAAACGTTATCTTTGTCTGAGCTCAGGGGAGTTCGTTTGGGGCCAATTCATCAATCACAGGTGGGATCTGCAGCTTGTGGAAATGGATAATTTAATAAACGTACACCGTATCTGTTTTGATCAATGTTATTTATTTAGTGTTGGTTTTATCTCAACAGAAGGAGCTTTGCCTTTGATACGTTAAAGGGGCTATAGCATTTGCTTTACTCTTTTAAAATAAAGTGTTAATTGAAATACATAGACAATCTCTAAACCAGGTTACTACTCATGTAAATGACCACAGAATAACTAACTTTGCATATAAAATAAGAAAGACAGCTTGTTAAATTGTAATGACTTGAGTAAGAGCTGAAATGGTCATGAAAAATTAATTTTGGGCTGTACTGCTTTTTTGTTTGTTTAATCATGTGAAATGCAATCACAAATATTTAAGTCACACTCTACAAACAAATGTTTTGGTTAGAGTTAGGGTTAGAAAAAATAAATAAATAAATAAATGTGTGTGTGTGTGCGTGCGTGCGTGCGTGCGTGTGTGTGTGCATAGTGTTCATTAAGTAGTAAACGAGTTTCACATTCAGATCCTTAAAGTGATGTCAGTGCATGTTATTGTCCAGTAGGAGGCAGTAGGTTAATGTCTGTGCTGTCATGTGTTATTGCAGCTACACCAATCCATCACCATGGACACAGCTGTTTAAGACTGCGGGTGTTTGTCTGCTGTTCTACAGGTGAGCATCATCTCACACACACACAAAAAGCATGCAAACCACAAGAGGAGGTCATGATGATGGGTTTAATGTGTGTTTTTGTGTGAGCAAACTATTAATGCTTGAACACGTTCTGTGGCCTCTTTGATCAGAGCCATGTGTGGAGAGGTCCTCTCATCCCCTGCGCTCTCTTTCAGTTTCTCTTGTCACTCTTTGCTCTCTTTCTTTGATAGCATAACTCATGCAGCTCTTCAACACAAGTTTAATTGCATTAACCACTGATATATCTGTTATATATATATGTGTGTATATTTTTGTAAATGCTTTGTTAGCGAACTGTACATAACTATCTTTTGAAGTTTTGAGTTGTGTTTAAATAAGGGATAGCAAGAAAATGTGAATTCAATTTTAAAATGTAAACTCTATATTAAGCTAATAAATGTATGCATTTTTGCAGTAAACAAAAGCATGCTATGCCATAGCAGCATTTTTTTTTTGAGTATTATAAAAAGACTATGAATGAATAAATGCAAATAATATAAGCACAGGTAAGGCTACCTGCTATTTCGCATTTCCGCCAGTGCCGGTTGAGCAGCTGCAGGGTCGTCAGCCGGGAGTAATAAATAAATAATATAGCCGGAAATAAATAATATTTATTTATTATACTAAGAAAAATTCTGCTATGACATGCTTTTGTTGCAAAATGCTTAATCCTTAATATAGAGTTCACACCTCACTTGTTCGAGCTTCTGCATTTTACTGGGATTTTACTGTATTGTTGTTTTGTTATCTAATACACGGACATTCATACATTTTTTAATGAATTGCTCACCCAAAAATGAAAATTTGGTAACAATTTACTCACCCTCAGGCCTTCCATGATGTAAATTAGATGGTTTCTTCATCGAAACAGATTTGGAGAAATTTAGCTTTACGTCTCTTGCTCGCCAATAGATCCTCTGCAGTGAATGGGTGCCGTCAGAATGAGAGTCCATACAGCTGATAAAAAACATCTCAATAATCCACATGTAATCCACACGACTCCAGTCCATCAATTCATGTCGTATGAAGCGAAAAGCTGTTTGTTTGCAATAAACAAATCCATCATTAAGGTGTTTTAACATTAAACAGTCACTTCTTGCCATAATCCGTAATAATGCTTCCTCCAGTCAAAAAGTCCATCCCCTGTTGTCCTCTCACATCAAACCCCACCAGCATATTTGTTTAGAATTGATTTTGGTCTGTTTTTCCACATGTAAACAGTGCTTGGTCTGTACATATTTGTCTCCTGGAGAAAGCGATATTATGGATAAAAGTTTGAATTGAAAAATGTCTTAATGATGAATTTGTTTATTACAAATGCAGCTTTTCGCTTCACGAGTTTAATTGATGGACTGGACTGGAGTGGTGTGGATTACTTGTGGATTATTGTGATGTTTTTATCAGCTGTTTGGACTCTCATGCTGACGGCACCCATTCACTGCAGAGGATCCATTGGTGAGCAAGTGGTGATATGACACATTTCTCCATATCTGTTCCGATGAAGATAAATGGCCTGAGGTTGAGTAAGTGTTCAGGAAATTTACCTTTTTGGTTGAACTATGCCTGAAGTGTCCAAATAGTTTTTGGGGCCACTGTATGCACTCAGATCATGTGTTTTCTCTGCTACAGCCTCTAATGCAGATGACGACTCAAACCAGAGTCCACCTGACTACACTGTCAGACCCAAACTGCATGACATTGGTGAGTGAACACAATGCCTGCACACACATTGGCTTTATAAAAGTATGTAACACAAATGTTCATCTGCTCTCAGAAATATGGCTGTTTCCCATTTTAATCTGCCTCGTAAGCATTTGAAATTCCTCATAAAACCAGGATAACCATTTGGCCAGATAGGAACGTCCTTTGACCAGGGGATGGCCAGTAACAAACAAATGAATGCATGTATTCATTCTCTCTATTTTTGCTTTCTCATGCTCACTCAAATGTTATTTTTATTCTGAGAAATCGAGCTGTAATGCATCTGAAATGTATGTCCAGCGAATACCCAGAAACCCAAGTTCACATCAGGATCACAGGAAGGATCATCCACATGCCCTTGCTAAAACACATAACAAAACAAATAGCTGGCACTTTACACCGCCCTAGGCATCCAAAAGCACTCTAGCAGTGTGTGTGTGTGTGTGTGTGTGTGTGTGTGTGTGTTAATGCACAGGCCATTAAAATGGAAACTGATTCTTGTATCCATTTATGACACACATACACCACATGAACAAATGACCCTCTGTTTGTACTTCTAAAGCTGTCAGCATCCTGTTAGCTTTCCCAAACCGTATTTAATAAAAAAAAACATTGCTGACAGGTCAAGCACTCTGTTATAAATAAAAATCCAATTGCAGCTGTCTTGAAAAGAACGTTTTACTTTGTTTTCTGTCAACAGCTCCATAATACCATCATTTGTGCTGACGCTGCATTAAAACATTCGTTCTGTTTAGGTCTGTGCATAGTACACATTATATAGTGTGTTCCAGTGAGGAATTATCCTCGATGAAACTGATATGATATGAAACTTCCAAAGTTTAACATAGCCTTAGAGACCCAGGAGACCTGATGTTTCTTATTTCAGCTTGCCAAGTCACAAGAAAAGAAGTTCTGTGCTAGTTTAAGCCAAAAAGGTGAAACAGCTGAAAGCTAAAGCAATTTTTGGCTTTTTCCTCTTCATTTGACTAATAGGCTACTGCCGACATATCTTGAAATGATTGGCGAATGGTTGGGTGACCATTTAGCCTCTTTTTCCTGGACAAATCCTGGTCAGGATTTCTAAATTGCCCAAAATGTCCAGGTTTTATTTTCCTATCTATGTGCTCTCTACAGTCCTCCTACATTATATGTTCATGTGTTTGCATTGCCTTGACCGTTCTCTTTAGATCCCACCTTCTTGCATGCCCCTGTCATGTACAATGCCTACACGCTATTGGTCAAACTACTTTTCAGTCATTACCTTCAGTAAGTATGAAAACAATAGCAAAACAGGCCAAATTAGACTTTTTAGGCAATTTAGAAATCCTGGCCAGGACATGTCCGAGAAAAAGAGGACGGCCTAGCAAGTGAGATCAGCGTAGTCACAGGGTAGACTCAAATCTGCATGGCCTAAGATGAGACATGCAATGTGACATGCACTAACCACTGCCCCATTGCTCCAGTAGAGCTATTAGTCTAGTTTTTCACCATGTTGTCCATTGTTGTGAGTCCATGTAATTAACTTTTTACACTGGTAAATTATGCTTCTGCTATTGTATTTATAAAATAGCACAAAATTGGCAGCTGTGGTTGCTAGAATAATTCTGCAAAAAATACATAAAGTTAAATGCTGCTACAATTACAATAATTATTTTACAGTGCTTGGATTCACAGCTAAAACATTTTTGTTTACTTTTGCACTCTAAATAATTCTGGTACAGTGTTGGATCAGCACTTGTTGTCCATTGTCAAATCTGTGTCCTTAAGCAAAACTAGTTGAGAGCCACTAGGGTATAAGACTATATTTGTTTGACAGGAATGTTATTCCAGGCCCAACAAAAGATGTTGATCCAGGAACACGTCCTACTTTGTCACACAGGGAGCAGAAGCAGTCCAGTTGGATTTTTACCTGTGAGGATCAACAATAAAAAATTCCAGACTTTTGCATGATGTGTTGACACGGCTCTGCTGAAACGTCGATTGAGCTGTGTGTAGCTCTGTGTCTGCTATCACAGCAGTGTGTTTAACCTCTAACTGCCCGAGCGTCCTTTATCAACATACAGCGTGGCTGCTGCAGATAAGAAATGTCACATTTTCTTTGTTTAATTCTGTCTGATATCCTTCCCAGTTTTCTCTCTACAATTATATCTCCTGTTTTAATAGACAAGTTTTCTCTCTTGCTATCTCTCCTCCTCTCTGCTGCCTTTTTTTCCCCTTTTCACTGTCTCTCTCTCTTTCTAAGTGATTATTTTCATCATCAATAACCCTTGTAGAATGTTATAGAGCTTTGGGGCCAGTAATAATACAGAAAATGAATGGATGTGTTTTATCTTCCTTATATTTGGAGAAGGCTGTGGGGAAACCATTACAGTTGCTGTAGGTAATGACATTACTCAAAGAGGAATCATTATTTCCCTTGCTCCCTTTTGTCATTTGCTGATGTTTAGTAGGTGATAATTTAATGTCTATGTAAGCATCTAACTTTAAGGTCTAACTTTTTTCTTTGGGTTGCAGTTGCTTAATGGTAAATACATGTGTTCTTGACACTGAGCCATGGTGCTCATGTGAGGTATGCAGGTTCAGCTCCAGCCTAGAGTGATGTTCCCATCACATTCTCATTCCCCCTCTCTTTTTTCAATAATTTTCAACCCTTCATTTCCTGACATTTCAATTAGAGAATGGATGTGGTATTGGTTTCCACCTCAGAGTACACAAAGCAGTAATTGTGAGAAAGTTTAAAATAAGAAATAAAATCACATTTCATATACTACTATTCAAATGTTTGGAGTCAGTAAGAGTTGAGTGTCACATGATCCTTCAGAAATCATTCTAATATGCTGATTTGCTGCTCAAGAAACATTTCTTATTATTATCAATGCTTCATATTTTGGTGGAAACCATGATGCTTTCATTCAGGCTTTTAGATGCTCACTAACTTCTTTCTTTCTTTCTTTCTTTTTTTGATCTCTCTTTCTCTCTCTCAGATGAGTTTAACCCTGAGATCCCTAAACTGGAGAAGAGTGTCAGCGGCAGCAGTCCGTCTGGAGACCGACTGTTAATCACTGTGGCGACGCTTCTCCTTGCTGCTCTCCTCGTGTCCTAGCAACCGTCTCTCCCTCTCTCTGACATTTCTGAGCCAGCAGTCCCGAGCTCTCTGAAAAAAGATCGCCTTTCGTTCAACCTGTGCGGGAGATTATCCAATCAGAACAGATTAACCACTAGTCGAGCCCTAAACGGGGGAGCTAATTGTAGATCTACCGCACCCAAATAGTGGCCTTTGTCTCCACAATTTTGGACCTTACGATTAAGGATGACATGCATCGATTTCAGGATTTGCCTTTGTGACGGAACATCCACTCTTCTCAAACATACTCGCAGAGAAAAAAAAACGAATCTGGTTAGACATTGAGGTCTCTACCTCTAGCTACGTCTGTTCTCATGTTCAATGAACCCATCCAGACTGGGGCAGCTCTTGAGGTGGACATTCTGAGATTGGCATGAGCTCAAATGGATATGACAAGCGTCATAGTGCTCAGTGCTTTGACCGCTGGATCTCAGCTGAGGGACTCGAGGGGTAATGGAGACCTTTGATCCTGTCTTAACATTCTGTAACAACCCATACCTATGTGACTGCGATATGTGTCAGTCATTGATAGTGTTGCAGCAGAGATCAATAAAACTCATTTGCCAGTCACTAAGTTCAGATGTTAGGCTTATGAATCGTTCACAGAAAGGCACGGCTGCTGTTTCTGCTAGTTGCCGGGCTAGAGTCTCGTTTGTGAGCTGTAATGGGAAAACTTTCCATCTAGTTTCCTAGTTCCATTGCTGAACTTGGAAACTAGAGGCAGATTATCGGTCAGAGACCATCACTTTTGTACATTGTGTGACTGAAAGAGTTTGGTCATCATAGCAGCGCACATAACAAAAGAGAATCGAGACGGACCGAATGAAGGGTAGATAATAGATAGACTTTTATTTGCTATAGTATGTACGTGTCATCATGGGAAGGTACTGGATTGGCCAGTGCCACTGATTAGCATAGTGGCCATTTTTGTAAGAGCAGTCGAGTCATAAACTGCAATTCGCTGTTTTATATCGAAAGAATTGCAGTGCGGAATTAGTTTTTACTGTATGATACATATTTAACTGCTCTTTGAGTATGTTACTTTATATGCTTAATTTATTGAGTTATTTATTGATCATTTGATCCTTTTTTAAAACTTTGTGAGTTTTGTCTGCTTTTTTGAGGGATCGTTCCTCATCTTTGCTAATGCCAAATTATTTAGTTTGTTTTTGTTCGTTTCATAGCCTTTATTTCTGTTCATGTGCCAGCAAATTGAGTCAAAACTCATAGTTACAGAAAAAAATATTTAATGCATCTCATCCATTGCTCTCAGTTGAAATAGGTGCATTATCTTCATAAGGAGAGTCATTATTATAGGACAGTGTGAGATTGTTGTAGTCTATATTGGTGGGCGGGGCTGGGAGGGCTTTTAGGGAGGGGTTTCTTGAAAGGGCGGGGCTTCAATGCAGTAACGAATGAATTTAATGAATAAGCATTCCTCAGACCGCTGCAGACAATGTCAAGAGTGAATGTCTATGTAAATGTTTCTGCGTATGTGTCTTATGAGTGTGCACTTTACAGGGGATCGTATGAAAGTGTGCGCGTTTTGGCATTTTCGTATGCATTTAGATACACATTTGTAGGTTTTAAATACTCAAGCTTGCTTGAGAGTTTTAGCTGGTGAGAATGGGGTTGGCAAGAACGAAAGCATTTATCATTGTTGGAAACAACAGTACCAATCGTGATTACAAACATGTAAACGAATCATGAATGACAATTACCAGAGTGAAACTTAATAAACCATTCTTATATTAACAGTCTTACTGTTATTTTTATTGTCTGCAGGTTGCCTTCATAGGATTTCAGAATCATAATCGACATGATTCTCAGAATGTTTTCTGTAAATGAGTTTGCACTGACTCATCCATGTGGAGAACAAATATTTTGTTTGTGCTTTTAGAGGTTTGTTGCGATGCTGTTTGTAGCCACTCCTTTTTTTTCCACGGTACGCTGGTTGTCAGACCACATTTACTACCCGAGTGACATCTTGGATTGAATGTGGACTGAAAATATATAATGCACAGTTTTATAGCGACTGCTATAAGATATTCTAATAATATAAAATTGTATATATTTAGCTGTAATATAATGGTGTAACACTTTACAATAAGGTTCCATTAGTTAACATGAACTAACAATGAAAAATACTTCTAAAGCATTTATTAATCTTTGTAAATGTTCATTTCAACATTTATTAATACTTTCAAATCAAAAGTTGTATGTGTTAATATTATTTAATGTACCTGAGGTAACATGAATTTATAAGTTTACAATAAACAGTTGTATTTTTATTAATTGACATTAACAAATATTGATAAATACTTCAACCTGATTGTTAGTTAATGTTAGTGCATTAACAATTAACTAATGGAACCTTATTGTAAAGTGTTACCAGTATGATATAATAATATAGATATATACTCTGGGGCTCTGTGTGTGTGTGTGTGTATATATATATATATATATATATATATATATTATGTTCAAAGTAGATATGTGGCATAACTAGTTACTTTTATATGGCAATTGTGTAACATGTTTCTTGTAAAAGCTTTTACTTTAATTAGAATTTAGTCCTCACAACTGAGTCTGTTTCTAGAAGGTACATTTGTCTCATTTTTTATCTCTCCATCTGTGTTCTGCACTTTGTCTCTGTTATTTTATCTGCTCTGTTTCACATCCGGACGTACTCATTTACATTCAGCTAGACCAAACACACGTCTGTCTCCTCAGGTAAAAGGTTCCTGCAGTGATGAGAATCTTGAACTCTTCAAGGTGCCCATCATTATAGAACACACACATACTCATACACACATAGTCACAAACACAACATAAAACACTCCAATGACAGTCCTGGGAAGATGCAGTCGTTCTTCTCAAATTCGGCCCTTCCATCTAAGGAGAAAATGCCTCGGAGCAAAACGTGTTTGTACACATCTGTCTGTCTTTTATTCTTTTTTTATCGTTATGTCTTTCTCTGTCTCTTAAGTGTTGTCTAGTTCCAAGGACACTCCACGTACAAGCAATGATAATCAACACCCTCGGGATTCAAGGGGGATCAAGGGTAAGCAAGATTAAATCTCACATCAAACATGCCAGTTTTGATTCAATTCAACTCGGCTGCATGTAGTAATTGTGCAATTAACCATTCTAACTAATAACATGGTTGCACATTTCATAAAAACCATTACTGGCTCTGTATTTGTGTGGATGATCCAATTTGTCCATCACAGTAACAGTTGTAATGGTGATGAAATGCTATTTTGAGGCATGTAAGAGTGACCCAGTGGCGAGGCTACATAAGGGCCAGGGTCGCACTGGCCCACTCAGATTGACGGCTCAAATGAGGAAAGACGAAAAATCCTGCATACATTACAATAATTGCTCAAATACATGAACATACAAACAACTTGTATGTGTGAACAAGTAAAAGAAAAAAATAAGTAGTAATAAGATCCTGGTGGATGAGCACTAATCTTCCAGTTTTGCGCTTCTATTCTGTTGCGAATGCAAGAGCTGTCAATATAAGCAATCAATCCAATCCAAGCGTGCTCCCGCTGTAAAACAGTCCCCGATTGGTCTTTAGTCATCGTCCCATTTTCCTTTGTGACTGTTTACGAAGTCAGTAAATGTATGACTAGCATTTTAAAATCTGTTCCATGCTGGAATACTCTACTTTTAAAATCTGACCAGATTTTAAAACACTAGGCATCATACACTCACCGACTTTGTAAATAGTCACAGAGGAAAAACTGGCTATCATACATTAAACGACTGAGGATCATACACACTACCAGACTATAAAGTCATTCCGATCACAAAAGTCACACGAAATTTGCATCCTTATTTTTATCTCGTGTAGGCTATTGTAAAATGATTTTTGAAATAGTTACTGAGGTCCACCCTGTTTTACCTAGGTCCACTCAATTTAAAATGTCTGGCCTCGCCACTGGCGTGACCAGACAGAATCTGTGTGATAGCATTACTTGACGCCGATGTTGAGGTAAAATCATGGTAAAACGTGTTAAGGTGAGGAGTACTGCGTTATTATTGATAGGTAAAAGTAACTTGTAACCAAAATACTTACACACAAGAATATAGAATGTTGGGTATTCACAATCAGTGTGGATCTGCCTTTAGGCAAAACGTGTAAATGAGCTCACAGCTGACTTCCTTCTGGCGACACATATGCTACTCCTCGACCTCCCAGAATGTGGTGGCATCTCGGTCAAAATATATGAAAGGATAAGTTGAGGAGGGATGTTGCTTTTTATGTAATTTGTAAATTATAAATAAAATGTAGAATGCAGGTATAATGATGAATCAGTTTAATGCATTACAATTATACACCGTCCATCAGTTCTACTTTAAAGAGTATGTGACGTGTTAAAGGGATAGTGAAATTCTGACATTATTTACCAGTACTCATCTTCCACATATACTGTAATTATCTTTTTGTGGAACACAAAATTTATTTTTGCAGCATGTTTTGGCCACTTTGCAATGAAAGGGAATAAGGTATGGAAACGTTAAACTCTAAAATGTACCATTATAAAAATATTCCACAACTAACTAAATATACAGCATACATTATCTGAATTTGATCAAACTTCAGCAGTTTGTTAATTGAAGGAGAAGGGGTTGCTTCAGTCACCAAACTCAGTACATATATTGTTCTCATCAAGCAGAGCAACTTTCTGTCCTTCTGAGGAAACATGCTTAGTTTCATGATTTTTTGATGCTCTGGGGGCTAACAGCAAATTCTAAACTTTACAACTCAATTTCCATTAGTTAGAATGACAAATAAATACATAGAATAAGCTAATATGTACTGTACTGGTAATATAGTTTTATATAATTATTTCACAAATGCTCGTAGATCATTAAAATATATTTTTTTAAATGCTTAAGGATCATTAACATTAGTTAATCAATTAACTAACATAAACTAACAATGAACAATATATATTTTACAGCATTTATTAAAATGCATTTCAATACCCTTCAAAACTTCACTCCTGAAACTAAAAGTCTGGTTGTGTAATAAGCAGCCGTGAATGAGCTGATGATCTTAGTCTTTGGCCTGACATCTGTCCTGGGCACAGAGAGCTTCATTAGCCTTTGGTGCACCACCAGAGGGTGTCAGGTTCATCTGCGGTCTTCAACTCCCAATTATCTTGTACTGTTAACAACAATAATACTAATTATGTCTGACATTAAATAGTACAATGTCACCATTGTAT